CCGCCCCGCCCCCGCCACTCCAGCTGGGCCAGCGCCCCCTCCCCTCCTCCTGAGTTCCGTCCTCTTCCTTACCAGCTCCTCGTTTTGTTGACGGTGACTGGACTCCCTTTCTTCTCCTAGGTCTAGCGAAATCTTATCCGTTCTCAAAGGTCTAGCTCAAGCGTTTCTTCTTTTCTCTTTCGTTAAGAAAGCTCAGTTATTCTTTCTGATGTTCAAGTTGTATTAGCTTTGGCTGTTGGGGTCTTTTTCAAGTTGGATCCTATGTCCTACGTGTTCTTATCATTTAGGAAACACTTTCTTATTTGGGGGTCACCTAGTACTTTCCCCCTCTAGACCTGGAACTAGCCATTCTCCGAGGAGCCCTTGGTCAGGAAGGGCATTTAGAATCCCTGATCTGGGCCCCGTGTTTGCTCGTTGCTACGACAGTGTCATTGTTTTCTAGGCCTTTTTAAACTCACAAATTCACACCGATGCCACCAATTAAAATGCATCATCCTCATCGTTCTTCATCTTCCTCCTTCCACTTTCGTACTCCCCTCATACACGCAAAATAACTCGGAAATTACTCCTGCAGCCATAGCAACAGCAGAACTACTAAATAGAATTTAAAATTCTTGTGCTTTTTGTGCTGAGGCAGAAAAAGGTTGTATCATCAGAATACTATATTTAAAAGTTACTTGAATTATTCTTTTCCGAGTGTTTACGTCATCAATTTGATATCCAATTAGGCTTCTTTGTTTCTATTTTTAATCAGCTTGAGGATTTGCCCCATTATTGATTTATGCTGGTATACGAATGTTAATATGCATTTTGCTATTACAAATAATATCGTAACGAAGCATCTTGTACATATGTTTTTCTCGCGTTGCTGAGGTGTATCTCCAGGGGAGCATCCTAGAAGTGGAATCGGTGAGTCAAAGGGAAACGCACACATCATTTTATTAGCTGTTGTCCAATTCCCCTCGACAAGGGCCGTGTCTGTGTAATTCCTGCTCCCCTGCAGCCACCAGAGTGGGTTGTTCAGCTTCTGAACTTTTGCTAAGTGAATACATAAGAAATAGTATCTCAATGTGGTTGAAATTTGCATTTTTCTCAGTAGCGAAGTCGGATGTCTTCAAATATTCAAAAGCCTTTTGTCTATCTTTTTGTGAACTATCTTTCCATGTCATTTGTCCACTTTAAAACCCAAGAGGGCTGATTATTAACACTCTCTGGCCGGAAAAAAAAAAATGCTAAAGAATGCATGATATAGAAGAAAAATAGTCACCAATGGAAGGTCAGAGTTGCAAGAAAAAATGGAAAAGAAAGAAAATGGTTACTGTTTGGACACATAAAAATGAAGTTTCTTTTTATGAAACAGTAATAATAATTTCTATGAGGAACAAAAATATGACATAAACACTAGGTAGCAATAGGAGTACCTCAGGAGAGGGAGTAAATAAAGTTTAAATTTTTTTAAGACTTTCGTGTTGTCCAAATTGAGGGTAAATATTTTTATGAACTTTAGACTTCAGTAAGTTAATCATGCATGTTTCACTCTCTGGGATAACCACCAAAAGAACAGAGTCAGGGCATATAACATAAAACTTTTCGAAGAGAAAAAGAG